AGCCCATGTAACCATTTTCCCTTTCATCTCTCGTTCTTGTATTTCTGAGGCATAGCGGTTTGTTTCCTCAACAATTTCTCCGACAACATCTTCTGTGAGGAACATTTTAAAACAGTTTACCTCACTGGGGGATTCTGGAGGATTTTGCACTCCACACAGTTGGTCATCGAAATCCCCTGGGCCTGGAGGATTAATAAGGTTCGTTACCTTCCAGGATGATGAGTTTATCCCGTCTGCCTCAGCAAAAACATGGGTGGGCGTTGTGGAAGTCTCTTCATCTTCAGTTCCGTCAAGAGCTTCAAGGTTTGAGGGAAGGTCCTCATCGCTGTCACTGTCTGCCTCACTGTCAAAATCCTCATCAGAATTTAAAAAAATCTCCACAATTTCCTCGTTTGTGAATTTTCTTCTTTTAAAATGATTGTCAGACATTTTTACTTATTTAAATAATGAAAAACTGTTTTGAATTTATGTAAATTTTTTTATCAAATAAGGCGAGGCCAGTGTGAGGTAAAAGTGACGTCAGCTTGAGGTCACTCCTTGGCGGGAACAAAAGGCTGCAATGCATGCCTGTTTTATATCTTTTATTTTTTATACAAAACATTTACAAACTTTTTAAATACATTGTTAAATGTTTGGCATTAGGACAGTTAAATATATGCAAGTCAACTCCTGTTAGTTGATCGGTAAGTTATCATGGGCTATGGACGCCGCCATTATTTGTTTACAACTGTCAGAGTAGAAGCCGCCTGGATTTACAACGCACAAGATCACCCACTCCTCAAAAACATGTATGTAAGTTGCTGGCAAACTGGCAGAGGAATAGACATAGCTATATCTAAACATGAAGTGTTTGATGTGAATAAAACCTAGCCTTATGTTTGAAAGGTTATTTTGCCTCCGTTGTAGAGATATGTGTTAGATTACAAAATACATATAGTTTTTCCTACTATTTGTGTGACTATGTAATGTAATTTAAAATGTATAAAAAATAAAATAAACATGCTTAAAAACCCTGAAGGCGTCCGTCTCTGGATCAGTGCCAATCAAAGCGGGAAAGCAGATTTGAATTGAGCAGTTGACGACGTGACACACTGAAAGTTCTAATCACACCGGTGTGATCGTACGCTTCAGAGACCAGCCAAGACTGATCACACCGGTGTGATCGTACGCGTCAAAGGGTTAAGGATTGCTTTTTCAGTGAAACTTATTCCTTGCAGTTGGCAGGTAAAAGGCCTTTCTCGGGTGTGAATTCTCATGTGGTCATTAAGAATTCCTCTTCGGGTGAAACATTTTCCACACTGTTGGCAGGTAAATGGCTTCTCTCCAGTGTGAATTCTCATGTGCCTGTTAAAGCTTCCTTTTTGAGTGAAACTTTTTCCACACTGTTGGCAGGTGAAAGGGTTCTCTCCAGTATTAATTCTCATATGGACGTTAAGGTTTCCTTGTAGATCAAAACTCCTTCCACACTGAGGGCATGTGTAAGGCTTCTCCCCAGAATGAATTCTCATGTGGGCTTTAAGGTTTCCATCTTGATTGAAACTCTTTTCACACAGAGGGCATGTGTAAGGCTTCTCTCCTGTGTGAATTCTCATGTGGTTATTAAGGTTTCCTTTTTGTTTGAAACTTTTTCCACACTGTTGGCATGTAAAAGGGCTCTCTCCTGTGTGAATTGCCATGTGGACTTTAAGCTTTCTAAGTAGATCAAAACATGGTTCTTTTCCATAACACTGAATGTTGTAACAAAGGTAATAAAGAGTTGGTTATTATTATTAAGTCTCTTTCCAGCTCAGACTGAATAGGTTAAGCTTATGGGTCTGTCAAGTGATGAACGAACGACACGAAAAACCCAAAGACTCGAGAGATGAGCTAATCAATTCTCTTTCCGGCTCAGACTGCATTGGTTAAGTTTATGGGGCTGTCACGTGATGAACGAATGACTCGAAAAACCCGAAGACTCGAAACAGGTGAACTACTCAGAACCTATAGGATGTTGCGGATGCGCGACTGAACGAATCACTCCCCAAGACGACTCGTTCTTCCCGAGTCACATTAAAGATTCGTTCAAAATGAACGAATCGTTCAAGAACGACCCAACACTACGTTCTAGTGATCGTACGCGTCAAAGAGTTGAAAACTACTAGAGAACATGAAATGCTTACTTCCAGCATATATATTGGGCATTTCATAACAGGTTCATATGTTTGATGGTGGCATGTCATTTAATTGGACAAGTGTAAAAATAATTAAAATAAATACACTGATTAAACAAATATTAATGTTGCACTTTGAGAGGGGCACTGACTCTAGACTTATTAAGTGGGCCGTGGAGTTTCATGGGCAACTATACAAAGACACAATTGGTAGTTATTTTCAACATATCATTGGACAACATAAATCAGTTCAGTTCTGAACAATACCTCTGACAAGTGTGACACTGTTTTGTTGTTTTTGTGTTTTCTGTATTTCTATGCACTTTTGTGATTTTAGCGTGTGAACTCTTAACTTTTTTATGCATCAAACGATAAACATATATGAAAAGACAGGAAAAATGATATCAAATCTGCATGTAAAACTTCACAAACCAAATTAAATAAAATTAATAAAAAAATAAAATTAGTTTAAAAAACCCCGAATAAATATCAAATGAAAAAAAAGATGACAATATAAAACATACAGAGGAAAACGTATGCATCAGTGGTACAACCCCCCAAAAAAACTACAAATTTCAAGAATTTATCACTTTTCTCATTTTTAATCAACCGAAGAGATTTAATAAATGCAACTTAAATTAAGGAATGTGAAAAGGTAGGCTGCGAATCAGAGATTTTTTTCTTATGTAATGAACACTGAAAAGTGCTTTTATTTTGGTCTGGTGACATGACGTCATAAGTCTGCCTCGCGCTCCTCCGTGTGTGAGCAAAACACTTTAGATGTGATTCGGCTGCACACAGGTTTGTGTTTTTAAGCATTCAATGCGTTGAAATCATTGTAAACCGCTAAGGCAATTTAGTATTTAAATGTTTCACGTTAAAAGAACTTTGTGATGAATTAATAAATTACTAAATGTGAAATTGAACTACTTTATCTAACATTAATGAGCGTTATTTTTGTGGCCATTTCGCACCACCACATGAGTAACAGAAAAGGTGCGTCTCATTTCTCTCATATCACGAATCAGTTTATTTTAAAAACGAGATATGATACAGGTAAATAGTGATGGAAGAAACGAAGCTTTTCGAAACAACGAGTCAATTGAATCAATGCTTCCCGAAATGATTCACGCAGTAAATTGAATCTCGGTGATCGCATTTCAGAATGTAATATTTAATTTCTCGTGAGGCGTAAATTACTGTAGTTTTTCTTACTCCGTTTGGATTAAAGCACTCGAATCACAATGCAACGAGAACACAAATGTGCAACGACACGTTTTACAAAACATTTGTACGTTAAAAGTGCGATTTGTTATATGTATTTATTTATTATGATGATGGCTTTTTGTTTATTTCTTTTTTTGTACCAGTTGCATGAACTACTTATAAAGTATTCTTAAAAAAGTGATTTTTTTTTTCAAGACTGGTCATAACTAATAGGCTACCGTTAGATTGGTCCAACTTGAATCTGAAAAGTAAAACTGATTACCTCTTGGCTAACTGCTTGTTGGTCAAACTTGTTCTTAGCATAGTGACTGTTTATGCAACTGACCCAGGGCCATTTAAGAACACTATCACTCTTGCCAGTGTGCTAAATAATAAACTAGGTAGCTGATTTATACGCACTCGGAGGTTTAGTTTGTATGTGTTTTTTTCAAACACATTTCTCCCCACCCCACCAAACACAGAGAAGTTTCTGGTGAAGCAAGTGAGATCCACGTGACGTACTAAAGATGGCATTCATTAAGGAGGAGAGCGAAGACATTAAAATTGAAGAGGCATTTAAAGTGAAACAAGAAGATGCTGAGGAACAAACAGGTTGGTTTCCTTTCTCAAAGCTTGAGGCTTCTTATGTGGACAGGCATGTTGACATCACATAACCAGCCAAATACTCATTATTACATGCCATATCAGTTAGTGTCAACCGATGATGGATTTTGAAAAATATGACTTATATAAACTAGTATAATATAAACTGATTAATTGTCAATTCTTTTTAAAATCAATAATATGAACAAACGTTCCACATAGTGTAAAATTGTGCTAAACTTTATTGGAAAATTTTATAATTTGTATATTTTATAACTATTAAAATTAAATAAAAAAGCTTCATCACTACTGATACTTTTATGCCTGCTGTCACGGACAAGGCTTAAGCCTAGTCCCAGACTAAAATGCATCTTTGTGCTATCTTATCTCAATGCAACTTGCACTGACGTATCTTAAAATATGTATTTGTATCAAGATGCACAGCAGTGATGTATTTTAAGGCACATAAAAAAGTGAATAAAATAACAAAATAATGTCCTAATTTAACTAAGACCTTGGCTAATCCTGTCTTAATTTTAAGACCTGTCAAGCCTTAAAGGGATAGTTCACCCAAAAATGAAAATTTTATGTTTATCTGCTTACCCCCAGGGCATCCAAGATGTAGGTGACTTTGTTTCTTTAGTAGAACACATATGATGATTTTTAACTCCAACCGTCGCTCTGGCGTAGTATCAAATTTTCATTTTTGGGTGAACTATCCCTTTAATATTATTTTGTCATTTACAAAAACAAAGAGATAGAGGTCAGATACATAGGACCTAAACCAGAGTTCCTCAAATCTTGCCCTGGAGGGCCAATGCGCTGCAGAGTTTAGCTCCAACCCTGATCAAATTAACCTACCTGTGATTTTCTAATGATCCTGAAGACATTGATTAGCATGCTCAGGTGTGTTTGATTAGGGTTCGAGCTAAACTCTGCAGGAAAGTGGATCTCGTGGGCCAGATTTGAGGATCCCTGACCTAAACCATGCTTGTCTACAAATGTCCAATGTAATTCTAAAGCTATCTAAGAGAATGTCAAAACCAAAAAGTGGATCCCATTGCAAGAAACAAAAATAATCCACGTCCAGGCACTCACATAGCAGGCAAAATATAAAAAGCCTTTATTGTGCGACAGGGCTACATGTTAAAAAACACCAACGCGTATCAGCCCAAACAGGCCTTTTGACATTTTGTTCCCTCTCTGGAGCACCCATAGTCTCACTCGTGAGTACCTGATGCGCCCCTGGTCAAGACTTTTTTCTTTAATTACTATCTAAGAGAATGTTGTGGTTTATGTTGTGAAAAGATCTAATAGCATTAGAAGACAAATGTAGCTGCTAGTGTTGTCACGATACTGGAATTTCTAACTTCGATTCGATACCTTGAAAAATATCGATATTCGATATCATTTTCGATGCCACAACGTTATATCAAAGATGAATAAATACTGTAACAAATGTATTGCTCATTGTTCATTAATGTTGATTAATACATTAACATTTGTATGATGAACAGATTTTAATTTCGGATTCACATATAATCATTGATCAACGCACATACATAGAGTGCTATAGTAAACACGGAAGCACAAACATGCATGCATCACGCGCGAAAACCTCATTGGAATGACATGAGGACAAATTGCAGAATTTGTTAAATAATAACTTTATTCAGTAGATTAAAAAAATTAACTAAGCACAAGAGTACCTACTAGGGGTGACCCGAATAGTCGACGATTCGATGCTTCGATAGGAGGGGCCTGATTCGACTACCAATCTCACAGTCGAATATTCGCAGAGGTTTTACTCCAAAGAGAAAGGAAAAATTGAAATCGCATCATATGACCCCTTTAAATAAATATTTTAACGTGCATGAATAAATCCAACCACCCTATAGATTTAAGTTTCACTTTCCATAACCTGTGACTGACAGAGAAGCATCTTGGCGGCAAGGATTTAAATCTTTACCAAGACTCAAATTGACACAGGCAGAGTGAAAGACTGGATTTTTTTCGATCAGGTCGGGTACAAGTGATTTCAAAACATTTCAGCCGGTTTATATATAT